CTCTAGGGCCCAGCCTCACTCTCATTTGGCTGCCTGGCTTGACTGCTACTGTGCACTCAGCTCGGGGGTTTATCCTCAATCACTAACAACTGCCATTTTTATTGAGTCTAAGTCGGCAATGGAGAGGATGAAGAATGTATGTAGCTGAAATTCTGATCATTGTTTTCTTCCCTCAGAAAGACAAAGGGATGCTTGTACCATGGCTGTCAAGCACGATCGCATCGCATGATATCATGTGTCATATCACAATATTTTTTGCCTTTTTGAAGCCAGGGTGGGTGTGGCCTGTATGTGACATATCTGGCCCACAGGCCGCCAGTTTAACACCACTGGATATCATAATATAATATAGCAGAAAACATTTTAAACATTAAGAAGCAAAGCAAGAAAGCAAAGGCAACCATGATCCTACCTTTCCAATCAACTCGGAAATTTTAGGTACAGGTTTTCCTTTCTGATGCTGTATGGTTGGTGGGCTCTGTCCTTCCCAGTCCTGCAGTTCCTCAAGGCTTTCCAGATAAAGCAGAGCCTTCAGCCCTGTGCAGTAATCATCAATTACAGTATAGTCCTGATTCTGAATTGCACTGCACACCTAAAGTAGATAGATATCCAAAGTTATTATGGAAATGTGTTCTTACAGATGTTAGGATCAGAAGGCTTGGTATCAAATGATCATAAACAACAGCTGCTCAGAATGTATGGCTTCATAAGACATCCAGTAATCCTGAATTTTTTTCACCAGCTAATCTGCTATGCAAGTAATAGATAGATTGAAAGGAATGAACAAACCATTCTGCATTCTCCCTCTCCCCCTTTTCTTTATGTGGTCAGTGTACCAGCCATCAACATTTCATAGTTTATGTTCTACCATTTTGGTTAAGTTCAAGTACTACTGTGTAGTACAGTAAATGCTACAGTAAATACTGTGTAGTACAGTAAAATACAATTATTAATAGAATCTGGTAATGTTAATGAGGGATTTATACAGGTTTTAGAACCAGAAGATAAAATTACTGTTCTTGAGCAGAATAATTGCAAAGCTATTAGATAACAAAAGTCATTACATAATAAAAAGATATATTCTAGCATCTAATAGCAGCTATGCTATTAGATGCAAACCTTGTATCTAACATGTAATATAGATGTAGAATGTACTATGCAGCTCCTTAGGTTTTGGTTACAAAGCATATCTTTAGCATGCAAAGTACTGGGTTCAATTCTCAGTATATCTAGATAGAGTTGGAAACCCCAAAAAACTGCTACTAAGTCAGCACACAGGACTTCCTGACCCACCTTATGGTAGCTTCCTAATGTTCTTATGAGTGAACTCTATTATTAACAGAGTTTTATTATTCTTAAACAAGCCAAGTCTCCTTGCATGTGTCAAGAAATATAAAATGGTCAACTATCTCAAGGAGAAAAAAGATATTAAACATGCCCATGTGCACACACACACACACACACACACACACACACAGACACAGATACTGGCCATCTATAATTAACTCATTCAACTTTCAGCTAATAACATCCCAGATAGCATTATCAAACTTTCATTTCTGGTGTCAAGTGCTATATTACAAGCTTTTTATTCCGGGAGGGAAAAATACATGTTACCCTTTAAAATAATGTGCATACAGCTGTGCAGGAAGAAACAAGGAATAAGTATAAAATATGCACAAGAACATTTCTTATGCAGCCCATTTACATTACTTAAAACCTGTTTCTCTGGAGGAACACTGCAAGCATTAATTAGGTCTGCTATGCTTCTCATAGATTTAAGTGCTCCCTCTCTTTCCCTTTCTTTCTCTCTCTCTCTCTTCTCCCTCTTTCCATTTTTTCAGAACAATTATAGAGATTATCTTTATAATTTCCTCCACAGGTTATTTAACTGTAAAATTCAACCAATGATTTATTTAAATGTCTTTGTTTGCTAAGGGCTTCTAATTTTTAAACATAAGAGGAACACTTTCCTTACTTCTTTGGAAAAAACAAGGGAACGCCAGATAGGTAGATAAAACTATGATGTTCTACATGCTTAAACTAAGTCACACTGCCTTATTGAAACCTTGTTCTTTTTTGACAATATTCATGCACTTGAAATATACAAGAGTTCTTCTTTTTTTAAAATAAAGTTTTATTTGGGTTTTCACGCCTACAGAATACAAATAAAACATCTTTTTTGAAAATAGCATGGTCCCGGGTTGAACTTTTTTATACAGACACAAAACTCAATTTCATGCTCCTTTTTGTGTTCTATTCCATATCTTATACTATTCTACATTTTCTATATAGGTTTTCCCCTCTTTTAATTTTCTCAATTTTATTTTGATTATCTCATCTCAATTCAAATCATTATATTTATACTTTTGTCTGTTCTGTTTCAATTTCATATTATCTTTTCTCATCAAACAAATTTTCTCCTGTAGTTACTAATTGGAGTATGACACCTTTATATCTTTTAATTACATCCATTCAACTCTTATTTCAACTTCAATATATACCTTAAGGTTATGACCTTCAATGTAATACATAATACATAACTTCCAATCGAATTCTGCTTGGTACATTCTTATAATACACACTATATTCTTTAAAAAAAAAGATTATAAATATATGTAATTATAAACCCTCATTCCATTCCAATTTAGTTCTATCATTAATAATCATTAAAATCTTAACATCTTTAACACTTATTTTCAATTAAATATACTTCCTTAAAAACACATATAATCTCCATAATGAATTTTTCCCTTATTTCTCTTCACATATGTTTTGTAAATCATTAAATATTCATTTTGTTACATTTGTTTATTGACAAGCATTCCACTGAATTACAATAGCTATTTTATCAAACATTTTAATCATACATTGTTTCATATTTTCTAAAATTATTTCTATTTTTAATATAACAATACTATCTTATGTACCTTTGCAGAATCCCTCTTTCCATTAAATATTCACCCATTATCTCTAAATAGGCCCTGTTTCTCTATATTTTGCTTCTGTCCTTTATAACTTCTTTTCCTTTCTTTCTTCCCTCTCATCTTCTCCCTCCCCCTTTTACCCCCTTGTCTTTCTACTTCTAATTCTCTCTTCTGTATTTCCATTGCTTTCTGATTTTATATTTATTTTTCACTCTATTTTGGGGGGGGAGTTGTTTTTCCCAATCTGAAACTTTACATTCTCTTTCCCCCCTTTCCTTTTTTCCCCCCACCTAAGATTACTTGTTCATTAAAGATGGCTTCTTCTTTGTCACAATCTTCTTGTTCTGCAGACATTTCTTGTTGTTTCTCATAATTCCAAATCTCCATTTCTAAAAACTGAAATACGAAGCCAAAAGAACCTCTCCCTTCTTCTGCATCTTCTTTGTACTTTTTAAGTTCCATTTTCAGTTCTTCTAAAAGTGGAGCCATTTTAAACAGTTTTAAACAACCACCAGATTAATTTTAGTTATTCAAAACAATAACCAAGAATCCAGAAATCATCAAGTAATCCAGACAGTGCCAAGTTATTTCTTCTTATTTCTTTTTCCACTTTCTCTTCCTGGGGTTTTTGTTGAGATATTTCAGTTAAAATGTATCTTTTGGAAGTCTTGTTGAGATTTTGCTGTAAGTTCTTTTTAATTCCAGGCAATCTCCTCCCTTCCAGATCCTGCCCTTTTATCCTTTTTCTCTCCTTTCCTGTTTTCAAAAGCTTTTGATTATCCAAAAATCTTTATTATCCCTTTGACTTTTTATTTTCAGCATTAAATGCCTATTAATGTCAAAGTGGATTTTTTTCCAATTTCTTGCTAAGTTAGCTGTCAGTATAGGAAAAGGAGAAAAAAAACCCCAAATCTTTTCCCTTTTCTCTCTCCTTCGCAGCTTAAAAATCTTCTTAGGGAACAATGTTATTGTTTTTTTTAATAGTTTCAATTCCAGGGTACCTTATTTGTTGCTTTTGCTGTTTGACCCAGTCAGACAAAACTTTCTCTTCTTATCTTCCTCCTGCACATTCTTTTCCGGTTGAGTTCTTCTTTGTGGTGGCCATTTCTGACCACTGCTACAACCACCTTCAGGAAAGGGAGTAATGGCCAGTTGGGGAGGAGAGATGCGGCTCTCTTCAGCCCTGCAGGCAGTCTCCCCCTTCTTCACCACCTCTACGGGGTGGCTTAGCCCCAAAACCAGCTGGCTTGGGGCACTCCAGTGGCAAGCATGGATCAAAGCCTCGCAGAGATGAGGTTTCAGTCTGTCGCCAAAGAAGCTCAAACCGGAAGTCCAAAATATACAAGAGTTCTGATTTCTAATTAATGGTTATCATTTATTTATGACATAAACTGAAATAGCAGCATAATTATTGTAAATTAGGAAGCTATTAGGTCCAACTACTAGCTTGTAGACAATAGTGACACCTGCCTATAAATATGAGATTTCTGTAGGGAAAAGTTGCTCAGATGATGGAAAAGCTACTCACTCAAACATGTTTTAATGGGTTTGAAATGGCTACAATTAGTACAAAATTAAGGCAGACAGAATATGTTTGACCCTCAAAACAATATGCAGTAGAGTTACATGGGTTACATTATGATTTGAAACCATGCATCAAGGTAGTACCATTGAATGATTTCACTCTGAACCAAACTGCCTTTTGAAATGCATCATTTAGGAGAGATGGATTGTTATACGTTAAATTCATTACATAAATAGAAGTTTTCCTATGTTTTCTCATCCCAAAGATCTGTATTCCCAGAGTTGAATCTATAACTATATAATATATATAACTTTTATGTTTAATTTTATATATATATTATGTCTCACCTTTACAAAGGAGGTGAGAAATCCAAATTCCAGCTGAATACAAACAAGCAAGCAAATCCAGTAATTATAGAGTTAACTCCCTGAGCCGATAAAGTTCTTGGCAGTCTCACACACGCTGTCTGCCAAGTCCGACAAGAAAGCAGGAATATAAATCGCACAAGCTATCACAACACAGAATAATCCTGAGCTCCCCTGAATAAGTCACACGTTGTCCCGTACGAAACTCTCAGAGCGAACACACCCACTTTTATTCCCTGTGGGGTGTGTCAGTCCCTCAGCTCAGTCTCTGATTCGTCCCTTCCTCCTGCGTTGCAGCTCACACTTTTGCCTGCGACGCTGCCTCGCATCAAGCCAGCATTCCTCTGCTTGATTCTCTGTCAGAGACTCCGATACGCCCTCCTCCTTTTCCTGATTAGCCTCAGGTTTTCCCTCTCGGTTATCTGCTGACACCTGAGGCACAATCAGGGAGGAAGGCATTGCCGAAGAGGAAGGTCCTGGGGAGGAAGGCCTTTCCAAATCCTCCTCTTCCCCATTGTCTGAGTCTTTGTCCTCTAACAATGCAGGCTCAAACCTCAGAGCCACAACATACATACATACATACATACATACATACATACATACATACGTATGTATCTCGGAGTCTATAACTGTCTGGTTTGGTTCTGCAACTCAACAAGACAGACACAGACTTTAGAGAGTAATTAGGACTGCAGAAAAAACAATTACTACCAACCTGCCTTAACTCGAGGACCTGCACAAGTCAAAAAGAGGGCTGTGAAAATATTTACAGACC